GACTCCACTGCAGTATCCTCTGACTTTTCCCTGCCCAGGCGTTATTTTATTATTTTCACATCTACCGAGACAGTTTCATGTTTTCTTACTTCTGACTGATATTTTCAATACCTTTTTCATTTCTTTGGAAATGTTAAAAAATTTTATGATTCGTATTTGATCATTTCAGTATCTCAAATTGTTGTGGGTGTGATTCTCCTCTTTGTAGTTAGGGGTGGCTTTTACTCATGATGCCTCAATTTCTTGTGTGTTTAGTGATTTTTTTTTTAATGTGAACTTCTTTTTCTTGGAACTTAATCTGCTGGTAAATGATTGATATTATACTACTGATTTTACTAGTTCATCTTTTCACTAATGCATGGTCTTCTGTGGTCCTAAATTCATGTTGATCTCCTCTCAGGCTCCTTCCCTGCATGTTATTGTACTTATACAGATATAACTTTATTCTAACCAGACATTTCTCAGGTGTTTGTTTTGTTTTGTTTTAGGCGTTTGCCATAGGGCATGTGCGCTTCCTAAAAAGAGTGAGGACAAGTAAGAAATCATCCCCTGGGGGAATGACCAGTCCCTTCTTCCCCATTCTCAGCTCAGGATTTGGGGTATGCACACACACACACACACACACACACACACACACACACACACGGCATGATTTTCAAGCTGCCAGTTTTTTGGAGAGGTTTCTGCTACAGGGTATGTGTGCTCGCCAGAGAGACAGAGAGAGACAGAGAGACAGAAAGCAAGAAATCACCCACCAGGGGGCATGGCCACGCTGCAGTCCTTTCTCCTCCATTCTCCTCTCGGGATCTTGGGCACACACGCACACGTGCCCTGTGTGAGTTTAAGCCACCAGGTCCAGGACTTGAACCGTAGTCGACTACATGGGAGTTCAGCGACACAGCCATTACGCCAACTGCTGATCTTGAGGGTCCAGCATCTTAACCACCATGCCACCTGCTGGCCCCATCTCAGGTTTTTTATAATAGTATCATACAATGTGCTGTCCTTTTGATTTCTCATCTTGATGACATTATAATTATTCTGAATTTGCAGTACCTGATTCCCAAAGCTCCATGATGCTAGTAATAACAATGTTACAACTTACTGAGTGACTTTGGTCCTATGCTAGGGCCTTATATGTGTTAACTTATTTAATACTTTTCATGATCCTATTTAATCCTGATTTTACAGAAAAGGAAACTAAGTGTCAGAGATAGTAAGTGATTCATTCAAGGTCACACAGCTAGTAGTGGAGAGCCAAGTCTGAAAGCGCTCATGCTATTTTCCATCCCACACTACACAAGGGGTCTTCAACAAGTTTGTGGAAAATGTGAATTATGAAAATTATGCAGGGATTCAAAAATTTTTACACCAAAATAAATTCATACATTAATTCTATTTTCCACAAACTTTGTGAAGTGCCCTTTCATATGGAGAATGCACAGAATCAGGCTTGAAGTCTGGGTTCTACAATTTACTAACCATAATTTCCTGGCAAGTGGCATTAGCTACTTGGGATTCAGATTCTTCCATTACAATTATCTCTACCTTTTCTCCCTCCCAGTAGTCTAGAGAGAACAAATGAGATAATGTATGTGGATGCACTAAAATTTGTAACATGCCATATAAATCAAAGAGATAATTAAGAGATAGATTATTATTGAGTATGCAGATAAGTTTATTTCAAGCACTTTAGCCCCTTGACAAATATGAAGGCTATGTCCAGAGACCTTGTCAAAATCCCAAATTGGACACTGCTAACAACATATAATTTCTTCCATAAAACCTCATAATGTGTTACTAGAAAATGTAAGTGACCCTATAAAATATTTAATGATGATATAAACACAAGCATAAAGCTATTTATAAAGATATAAAGTTAGTTATAAATGTTGTCTGGAGCACTTGCTAAAAACACCTTTTCTTAGTTCCTTTTTACCGAATGAGGAACAAACTGGTCTGAATTGCAATCTCATCTTTGTTGGTTCAAAATTCCTTATTTTCTGTCTCAGAAACAATACTTTCTTAGGACTCTTCGCTCTCTCTTCACTTCTATCATACTAGTGATTGATTTTCTGTGGGAAACTAGTTTCACAAAGAAACAAGATTTTCTTTTTAATCATGTTTCAAGGATTATGAAGTAATAGATGATATGTTGGCTCATAAGTGGTGCAAATTCATGTCATGATAAAATGTTACATATCAGGTGCATTCAAGGTCCCGGGGGAGTTCATTTCTTTGAGCTAAATCCTTGAATATGATGATTCTACAGCAGAAACTAGAGATTCCTCTTGTCCCCATTCTGCTCAGTGATGTGAGCAATCTGGTTTCCTAACTAATATATCAGACTATTTTTTTTTCTATCTTCAGATTCCTCTCTGTAAGTCCCCAGTGCCTGCTGTGTTCATGATCAAGCCAAAAATACTTTTCCATCAGCCTGGCTGTGGCAGCTCACACAGCTAAGATGTTATGATTTGCAGGCTGGGAACTCTGACATGGGAGAGCTTGTCTTAATTCCTGGTACAACCTAAAGTCCCAGCAAGGTGGTACTCACATGTAATACCAGAAGGGAGGCCACGGCAGAAGGATTGTGAATGGCCTGAGGAACAAAGTCAGACCCTATGTTGAAACAAATTTTATATATCTGTATATGTATATGTGTGTGTGTGTGTGTGTGAATATATATATATGGCAGCAGATAGTGTAGTGGTAGTGGTTACATCGCTGGACTCCCAGGTGACCAATCACAATTCAAGTCCTGGACCTGGTGGCTTGAAAATCACACTGGGGGGGACCAGCAGTTAGCATAATGGCTATGTCACTGGACTCCCATGTAGTCAACCACAGTTTGAGTCCCAGATCTGGTGGCTTAAACTCACACCGGGCGCGTGTGCGTGCGTGCCCAAGATCCTGAGAAAAGAATGGAGGAGAAGGGATTGCGGTGTGGCCATCCCCCCCCCGGGGGGGGATTTCTCGCTTTCTGTCTCTCTGTCTCTCTCTAGCAAAAACCTCTCCAAAAAAGAAAAAAAAAAAAAAAGAAAATCACACTGGGTGTGCATGTGTGCATACATGCCAAACATCTCAGGAAGAGAATGAAGGAGAAGGGATTATTTATATTTATATTTATATTTATATTTATATTTAAATATATAGTTACTGGGACCAGCAGATGGCATAATGGTTATGTTGCTGAACTCCTAGGTAGTTGACCATGGTTCAAGTCCTGGACCTGGTGGCTTAAAACTCACACTGGATGTGTGTGTTAAGCTGGAGAGACAGAGAGTGAGAAATCAAACCCCGAGGGGATGGTCATGTCAAATCCCTTCTCCTCCATTTCTCCTCTTGGGATTATTGGGCACACATACACTCGCACCTGGTGTGAGTTTTAAGGCACCAAGTCTGGGACTCAAATCAGGGTCGACTACGTGAGAGTCCAACCATGTAACCATTACACCATTTGCTGATGCTGGTCAGTCTTTTCTCTGCTAGGTTTCATTGTATCCATTGAGAAGGGGGAATTTGGATACTCCTTAAGACCATAGTCCCCAAATCTGGTCAATCACCTGCAGATTTTACTGAATACCTGAACTCTTTCCAAGAGGTTCTGATTTAATAGATCTGGGACAATCAAGGATCTGTAATGAGATCAGCTGATATTTATCAAGAATCGATTTGGGGATAGGCCCTGTTTTGCAAGTTCACGTTCTCAGTTTACATCTTCACAACCATTTGAGGTAGTTACTGTTATCATCCCCATTTTACAGATGAGGAAATTGAAGACAAGAACAGTAAAGAGAAAAAGAAGGGAAAAAAGCTGCTTGAATCAGCATAGAGGGGCGAGCAGTTGGCGTAATGGCTATGTCGGGACTCCGATGTAGTAGACAGCAGTTCGAGTCCTGGACCCAGTGGCTTAAACTCAACACAGGGCGCATGCGCATGCGTGCCCAAGATCCCAGGAGAAGAATGGAGAAGGGATTGTGTCCTGGCCACATCCCCCCTAAGGGGGTGATTTCTCCTTTTCTGTCTCTTTCTCTCTTTCTGGCGAGTGCACGTGCCCTATAGCAAAAACCTCTCAAAAAAAATTGTCATGGAGCTAGTACAGTAAGTAACTAGTACATGTCGAGGGGAAATTCCAACTCAGACACAGCAACTCCAGGCCTCACTGTCTCAATCACTAAGCTATATAAGACGTTTTTACGGACCTTCTGGTGATTTCGATGATAGCCAGCCTTTAGAAAATCCGCCCAGGTAGTCCATGCCAACACTTAAAGGGTGCATTAAAAAAAAAAAAAAAAATGTGTGACCCAACCCCCTCCAGTCTTTCTGGAAGGAAAATGGTTAAGGAACAGGATCGTCCGAAGAAACAAGACAAAACGATGGACATCTTATGGGTATTTCCCAGTCCAGTCGGCGACACTCCTCATCTCATAGGCTGACCCAACCTGGGAACCAAGGCAGACTCTTTCTGTACACCTGGCACTTTTAGTCACGCCCCGTTCTGCAACACCCCAATCCCAGGCTCATTCATCTTGATTGACATGACCGCAGAGCAGTTATAATTGACTATGGTGTCCGGCCGCCCCGCCTACCAGGTGACCCCGCCTCCCTTTCATTCTGAAAGAAAGAACCTCGGCCTGGACGTCCAATGAAAAGCGCCACCATCCCAAGGAGTCCACCTCCTTCGGCACCGACCCCGCCCCAAGGGCGGGAAGGATGCCCG